CATCTGCCACAAAATCTTTTTCGAATTATCTTCCCTAACATTACACCACAGCAGAAAAATAGCCTCAGGGAAGCTGACTGCCTTAGCTGCCCAATTTATGCCTTAGGTACGAATTGTGCCAACTGACATTTCATTGCCCATCATTCCACGTAGAAGACTTTCTAAACCGGTAGAATTCAGGGTTCTGTCAGAATCTTTTATCTGGGCTGTACAGACATTAAGGACATCGCGAGGGTAAATTAGATCGATGCGTCTGATAAAAATTTGAAAATGAAAATTGGATTGCAGATAGAGTGGTCAACAATGTGCATAAACATGGCCAACCCATGCTTGTCTGGAGATGTTCTCTATTTAGTCAGAACCGATTATTGATACAGTTCAAGAAGTGTGTTTTTTAACATGCGCGCCCCCAAATTTTAACAAAAAGCCTTCATACCACGCGTTGCAGTCTGCATAGTCCGTGGAGCGTTAGCGCGGTGACTAACTTTTAGCCTTGGCTCACCGTAGGACGAAAATGATGACACTTCTGAAAACACATTAAGTGATTTAACTTTAACACTTAACCGATGAGTAGTACTAGTTATGTGGCGCAATTTTGAACATGCGCAACCCAAAATGCTAGAAACAAAAAACTCGACCCCAGGCGTTCAGTCTCCGTAGGCCGCGCAGCGTTGGTCCAGCAGCTAATACTAAGCCGTGGCCAAGGGACGGACGAAACTGATGACGCTTCTGAAAGCAAGATCTTTGAACGGTTCATGACATCAAATATTACGTTTAGAAGGCAGTCTGGGCTCATATTTCACGTGTGCGATTTTTTGACCGATCATAAGAACGGATTGACTCTTAAAGCACCGCGCAATGGGGCTGCTATGTGGTGGTTGAACTGGAGGAGTAAAGGTAGAGTCTATATTTTTCGTGTTTCTGTAACTATTTACCTGTCCAGGAGACAGATTAACACGACGCCCGCTTGGTGGCAGCTGCAGTGGCCGACGCCGTTCGGTTTTGCGGAAGCTGCAGTCCAGGTTATCGATGACCTTGCTCTAGAGACTGCAGGCGGACGTGCTTATTTAACCTTTCGATGATATTTGCTTCACTAATCCATTCTGAAAAAAAGCAAAGGCTCTCAGGCAAACGTGGAATGGCCTTGTTCGTTTTTTAAGCTCATTTCGACCCACTTTACTCAGCAATAATGAGACCCCCACAAACACTATTCTGGAAGGAAGACTGAATCTCGGAACAGTTAAACCTCATCAGAATTTTATATTGTTCCATGGGGTATACATAACTAGGGGTTAAACGTCATGCGGCGCTTGTAGCGCATCGCGTATCGCACTTGCCAGGCGTTTCATATCCGTAGGTTGCCATCAGTTACCATGACAACGGCTTGTCCGAAGGATTTCCTGTGCAATTTGTTTTGAACGATTGGCGGCATTTCGAATGCTCTAACTGTGAGTATTTTATTACGCATATGTGTGCACGCTTGTAGGTACACATAATGATGGTAACACACGTGCTTGATGATCATATACATACTTGATGATAACCCACTATTTTGACTATTTATCTGATTGGATGTTAGCAGTGGTAAAAATATATGCAAATGCAAATATCCACATAAGCAAAACTATACGAGCTCTGAAGTACAAAACATTGTTGACTGTGGCATCATAAGGCCCATATCATACAGCTGTACTGTACTCACCTTACACCATCACTGTGATGACAAGAGTGGGAGCTGTTATAGCTCAATAATGGAAATGTGCATGTGATCATACCTATAGACAAAGCAAATTCGGCAAGGTGAGCTGTTCAACTCTGTCACGAGGCACAAAAGGCATAGACAAGCCTAAAGCTATCTAACGACAAGCCAGCCTTAGACAAGCCTGGGTATGGAATGCAATGCACCACAAACGCTGCATGACATATAGTTCCGTGCTATATAATCATGCATAAAAAATCGTACATTCTGATTAGGCTTACCTGTTCCAGGACTCACTGTTCATTCCAGAAATGTTTGCGAATAGCGAAAGGACTGATAATTTCTTATCGGTTCAACCGGAAATCGTCAGCAGCACACCACCAAATCATACTCACCATTCAAGCTGATGGGTTGTGTAGCAGCCAACTGGCTAATTGAGAGGCTTCCGTGCCACTGACGTCATCAAATGTGGTGTACTTGGCGTTCTGCAGGCTTTGCTTCCAAACTACCTCTATTACCATTTATACATATTATTATATGCCAAACTACCTCACGCAGGCTCGATGTTGCCACTTTTTCGGACCGGACGGTTCTACCTCGTTAAATAACCTTGGAGTGAGGCGGCAGATCGTCCCGTTTCATGGCAGCCAGTGATTCGAGGGCCACGACGTCCATCGTCATGTCCGGTCAGGAGAAGTTCAGATTCCACGATTTTTTTTTGCAATATCAAGATTCGAGCGCTTTACTCCGGTTTTCTGGTGTTTTTGATTCGATGTTAAACTGGCCTTATCCTTAGCCTTGCTCTCAGTTTGATTACCCCATATGTTACGTAATTGTTAAATGCTATCATTGTGAGACGACGTCCAGTGGAAAGCGAGCCTTGTGTCTCTGTCAATCTGACCCGTGGAACATCGCTTTTCTCTCGGAATGCCTGTAACCAATAATAAAACTGAACTCACTTAAAATTCATGCGCTTTGAAGCTCTCGCAAAGCATCTGAAAGTAAAGTAACCCTTTACATCGGAGCATCGGAAGCATGCCAATCTGACTGACCGTGGAGCTGGTAGTACCACGTGCCTTGCTATCAAGCAGTGAGAACGGTTTAGGACAGTCTGGGACATGCCGACTGGACAGAACAAGCTTCATTTGACCTGGCCTTATGCGAGGACGGGGGGGGGGGGGGGTCGATGCAGGGTGGGCGACCATCCTCACAAGTCTGGAGTGGTCCGAGAGGAGTTCACTCGCCTGCTGCCGCCTCCTGTCGGGACGGTGCCAGACCGGCCTTTCCTACGGTCCCCAGTACAGGGGCACTGATGACCGCTGCCAGCACGCCAGCCACGCCTCGTGCCCCTGGCGCCCGTCAGCCACGGCTCGTACCCCTGGAGCCCGTCAGCCACATCTCGCACCCCTGATGCCCATCAGCCGCACCTTGTGCCCCTGGCGCCTGTCAGTCATGGCTCGTGCCCCTGGTGCCCGTCAGTCACGGCTCGTGCCCCTGGCGCCCACCTGAAGCCTCTCATGTCTTAGTGACAGCTGGGGGCTTGTTCGTGGTATGTGTGGATGCTTGCGCACTGCATGATACAATAATGGCTGTCAAGCGCAAAGCGCCCTTTGCCCGTGACTGCCATCTCTGACGGAGAACAGATGGCCTGCTTCAGTCTGCTCGCACGGGTGTTGCTTACCTACCCGATACCGAACCACATGATGGCCTGCTTTGTTGCGACATTAGTGACACCTACCCTAAGCCATCAGCTGATCAGAGGCAGACTATTCTTAACGGAGAGGGCAGAAGGGCGGCAGGGAACACGACAGGGACAGCTGTGTTTGCAATTGTGAGACTTTGCGCTGGCAGTGTCGTATGATCTGTTTGACAGACAGCTGCCGACGCCGCCGGATAAGTGGACCAGCGACGCCTGGAGAGTACCAGAGCACCGCCGGTCTCTCACAAGGACGCCATGTGCAGAGTTCCTGACTGCTTACCGAGGCACGAACGCCTGTAATTTTGCACGCTGTTGGCGAAATCACAGATACCCGGCTGAAGCGTTGGAAACGGCTAACGAGAAACTGGAGGCACGTCGCCAGCTAATCATCTGCGGAGCTGGGAAAGAAAAGCAGACGATCATTACGTCGCAATAGTCATGACGAGATATTAGACTCACTACCACCGACCTCCACGACCTCCACGACAGAGCAACTCGCACGTCGTCCTTCGTTGATCAGATGGGATATCACGGATAATGCACCATTTCGGAGCACCCAAAAACACGAATGAAGCTCAGGTCAAGAGCCTGAAACTTTGAAAACTGGATGTACGGCAGGAGGCCTGTCGCACACTACGAGATACATACGAGATACATAAAGATACGAGATACGACCCTCAGATTGGCGCAGCTGGGCGCGTGGCCCGTAAAGAACACCTCTGAGCCTATCCCCTGATCTAGGATCAGCCCATCCTTCCGCAGTCTTAGCAGCTTTCTAGGAGAGCAGACCGTGTTCTGGAAGTGCCACTGCCAGCTGCAAGGTCTGTCGGCTCGCATAGCTCTGCAGTAGGTGTCGCGCAGTGCTCTGGGACTGTATTCGGCGAGCAGCGCGGTCTGGGAGAGAGCCTGCCGTGGAAGGGCGGATTGTAGTGGTCGGCGCCAGCTGCGGAGTGGAGTGGTCGGCGCCAGCTGTGGAGTGGAGTGGTCGGCGCCAGCTGCGGAGCGGAGTGGTCGGCGCCAGCTGCGGAGCGGAGTGGTCGGCGTCAGCTGCGGAGTGGAGTGGTCGGCGCCAGCTGCGGAGTGGAGTGGTCGGCGCCAGCTGTTGAGCTACCCTGCTGTCAGCAGCTCCTAGCCGGGCGCCGGCAGGTTAAACGAAGAAAGTGCGCCCGAAGACTCAAAGACCAGTTGCCTGAAGATCCGAAAGAACCAAAGGACCAGCTGTCGGGAGATCCGAAGGCCAGCCGCCGTTAGGGCTTGAAGACCAGCTGGCCAGAGCGAGCAGTCATGTTGGGAAACTCCTCCTCACCTTCCCCGCTATCCGGCGGCGTCCCGACCGAGCTCCCCTCCGAACTGAACAACGGCTCGTGCCTGGAGGCGGGCCAGCGACTGGGCGCGGCCGCCCTGCTCGCCCAGCCGACGCTGCACGAGTGCGCCTGTGCCAGCGACAACGTCACGGCGGCCGAGTTCCAGCGGTGGCAGTGCTCGCTGCTGGGGAGCGACGACAGCCCCTTCGACATCGTCGTCTGGGTCAGCTACATCGCCATCATGGCCGGCTCCATGGTGGGCAACAGCCTCGTCTGCTACGTGGTGCTGTCATCGGCGCGCATGCGTACCGTCACCAACTACCTCATCACCAACATGGCGGTGGGCGACCTGTTGATGACGGTCCTCTGCGTGCCCTTCACCTCGTCGAGCGTGATCCTGCTGCAGCACTGGCCGTTCGGCAGCGTCATGTGCTGGCTCGTCTCCTTCTCGCAAGCCGTCACCGTGTTCGTCTCGGCCTTTTCGCTGATCGCCATCAGTGTGGACCGCTACCGCGCCATCATCTACCCGCTTCAGCCGCGCGTGACGCGTCAGCACGCGCGTCTGGTCATCCTCCTCATCTGGCTGCTGGCGGGCGGCACGTGTCTGCCGATCGCTGTCACCTCGCGCACCTGGATACCACAGCGCGAGCGGCACTACCGGCTCAACGAGTACTACGTCTGCCAGGAGCACTGGGAGAGCGACAGCCGCCAGTACTACAGCCTCTCCGTCATGCTGCTGCAGTACTTCCTGCCGGTGCTGGTGCTGATGTACACGTACGGCCGGATCGCCGTCGAGGTCTGGGGCAAGGCCTCGGCCCTGTTCGAGCAGAACGACTCGCGCGAGGCACGCCTCACCAGGACGCGTCGCAAGGTAGGTGCCGCCGCGTGTGCTCGGCACGCCCGGGCCGCGGCTCGCCCGCCGAAGGCTGGTCACTGCACCTGCGATGGGCAGGACAACATGACGGGGGCATTCTGTGCTGCTGCTTCCAACGTGACGACATGACGGAAGTGCGCAGCGTTTGCGTCATGAGCATGGGGGTGTCCACTGTAAATCAGTTTGCACGTGCAAGCCGCATCGATGACCAATAATAGTCAGTGTTGCGTCACATATGATGGCTCAAAACTATTGTGTGACTGCCTGTGATGACTTTAAAGATTTATTGGCCGCTGAATCACGGGATCAAGCCACACCACACCTATCTTCCGTTAAGAAAGGTGTAGCAGAAAGTTGTGGTGCTCAGGATCTCATTTCATTAGTTTTTGTCCGAATATCCCTCTAAGCCATGAGGATATTCGGGCACATCCGGAGCCAGCTCGTGGCCAGCCATTGCGCGCGGATATGGGCTGCGCGTGGTGCATCGCAGCAAAATATGAACATTATCTTTTTGCGCGGCTATCGGGTCTATTTTGGGGCGTGAAAATGCTGACAAATCAAGTACAGTAACTGAACGCCCGGTCAGGAACCATGTTCCCACAGCTTGTTGTATACATACTATTCTGTTAAAATGTAAAGAGGTTTTGAAAGAGCTTGGTTTTGCATTTACTATATGTTAACCGCCGGATGAAGAATTTTATAAAACGCTATGCTCATTGTGATTTGGGGTGTGCAATGCATTTCCTACGTACATAAAGATCAGAGGAAGCAGAAGTCAGATTCGGTTGAAAGATAAACATATTCATGATACGCCCTTGCCTCGTATTTGCATGGCTTGAGTATCGTTACGTAGATCTGTAATACGTCAGTTGTCAGCCGGTTCCTACACCACTCACCAGCCGGTCTCAGTAGCAGTACCAGTTGGAGTTACCCTTCCAACTTGGCACAACCTTCTTGTATGAATCGAAAGCCTATTCTGCACAGAGAAGGCGATGACAGTCATGATGGAGTGCAGTACTGCACTCGGGCCCCGCGTGGCCGTCTTTTGCTGAATTTCCCGCGCGATAGAGCATGATGTAGTGTACGTGACAACCAGGCTTCAGGACTGCCATCTCCAGAGGCACATTGGAGCTGTAGTTACGTGACAGCCAGGCCTCGGGATTACCATCTCCAGAGGCACATTGGAGCTGTAGTTACGTGACAGCCAGGCCTCGGGTTTACCATCTCCAGAGGCACATTGGAGCTGTAGTTACGTGACAGCCAGGCCTCAGGACTGCTATCTCCACAGGCACATTGGAGCTGTAGTTACGTGACAGCCAGGCCTCAGGACTGCTATCTTCAGAGGCACATTGGAGCTGTAGTTACGTGACAGCCAGGCCTCAGGACTGCCATCTCCAGAGGCACATTGGAGCTGTAGTTACGTGACAGCCAGGCCTCGGACTACCATCTCCAGAGGCACATTGGAGCTGTAGTTACGTGACAGCCAGGCCTCGGATTACCATCTCCAGAGGCACATTGGAGCTGTAGTTACGTGACAGCCAGGCCTCAGGACTGCTATCTCCAGAGGCACATTGGAGCTGTAGTTACGTGACAGCCAGGCCTCAGTTGCCATCTCCGAGGCACATTGGAGCTGTAGTTACGTGACAGCCAGGCATCGGGATTGCCATCTCCAGAGGCACATTGGGCTGTAGTTACGTGACAGCCAGGCCTCGGGATTGCCATCTCCAGAGGCACATTGGGGCTGTAGTTACGTGACAGCCAGGCCTCGGGATTACCACCTCCGGAGGCACATTGGAGCTGTAGTTACGTGACAGCCAGGCCTCGGATTACCACCTCCGGAGGACATTGGAGCTGTAGTTACGTGACAGCCAGGCCTCGGATTACCATCTCCGGAGGCACATTGGAGCCAGGACTCAGGATTTCCATCTCCAGAGGCACATTACAGCACAAATACTGTACGACCTGGTTGGTAGAGCCATAAATTGTGGAGGACATTTTCACCATAACTCAATTAATTGAGTCTAGCAAGGTCGGATGTGTGCACCTACCTCCTCTAAGTTTTTGTCGCAACAAGCAAGAGTCAAAACCATCTGTTGGTAATTTTATGGGAAATTAAGTTCGCTTGAATCAGTGATTTTAATCAATAAGGCAGCTTTTAGTGGTAATTATTTCATCTCGTATCTGCCCCTTTCTTTGGAAATTAATTTATCTCGTAACGCAATCCTTAAGCAGGAATGAAAAGCAACCCTGATGCGACGACGAGTCTTTGTTCTAGCTAAGCAGCTACTGCAGCGGTTTCTGTAGAAAGCACAACTAAGCAATGCAATCTAGGCTTACAACCAGCTACTAGCTTAATAGTTTTTAGTAGTTTTTCAAAACCATACTAAATTCTAGCTTTCCACAGCAGACTAGCGCACGTGCACTGCTACAAACAGCTAAAAGGCAGCAGATTAATAAACACGCCGACAGTGCGGTTTTCAGGACGGGCTTCACAGGGCGCGGTCGCTGCACCCAGCATGTGCCTGCAGCCCTCAGCGTCGTGTCCCTGTTGAACCATAGTCCGGCACCGATGCGCCTATTGCGCGAAACGGCGCAGTAAGGACAAAAGGCGGCGCACTGGGGAGGACACAACGTGGCGGTCTCTGCCAGTAAATGCGGCAGCGCGCGAAACTCTGAATTTCAAACGAATTAAGTCAAGGTCACCTCGTACCAACTCATACAGGAAACACAGACCTGCGCCTGGCTATTTGATGGATTGTTTGATCTTCGAGAGCCCTGTAATGCGATGGTTGGCCGGTGATGTAAAACGGTAGTCATACTCGCCGATTAGGCATAGCAATCGCTCCTTCCCCCCTCTCACTGAACCTCCTGCAGATGGCCCGGCTGCGACCCTGCGCCAAGTCACTCGCAGGTCTTCTGCGGGCAGCGAGATGCGCGACACCGGACTGATGGTCCCCGAACGAGCAGAGTACTCTAGGGACGCAAGTGCTGCGGCACATGATAGCAACTGCGTCACCAAGGCCGCAACCGCTGGCGGACGGGATGGTGGTGCCGTGGCTCGGGAGTCTCGGACCGGCCAGACGACCGCTGGCTTGCGCCGGCCGAAGGCGTTGCCCGCTGCCAAACACAGTCAGTGGGGCGCCATCACACATGCTGGCTTACTGGGCTTAATCCAGCCCTACTGGGTTTAGTCTTCCAAACTGTCCTGCTGGTGATGACGCATCTGGCACGGACCACATCAACCCTGGCGGCGGAGGTGGCGGAGGACTGGACATGGAGGTGGACCGTGTACAGCCGGCGGGGTGTGCCCTGCGACCGAGATGGCGGGGGGCGCCACAGGACTGGACATGGGAGTGGACCGTGGGTGGTCGGCGGGGTGTGCCCTGCGACCGAGGCGGCGGGGGACGCCACAGGACTGGACATGGAGGTGGACCGTGTATAGCCGGCGGGGTGCGCCTTGCGACCGAGGCGGCGGGGGACGCCACAGGACTGGACATGGAGGTGGACCGTGTATAGCCGGCGGGGTGTGCCCTGCGACCGAGGTGGCGGGGGGCGCCACAGGACTGGACATGGGAGTGGGCCGTGGGTGGTCGGCAGGAGCGCGCTCCTGCAGGGCTCCTACGCTCTCCTACACAGCTCCTGCGCGCTCCTGCAGGGCTCCTGCGCTTACACAGCTCCTGCGCGCCCCTGCACAGCTCCTGAGCGCTCCTGCAGGGCTCCTGTGTTGGAGGAGAGCTCCCGCGCTTTTCTTTGAACGTCTCGGATATTTAGATTTATTCATAAATGAAGCGCATGGTGAGATTCAAAGCGCCACGTTCACCAACGGAAGATACAAGAGGGCAGGGAGACTGAGCCGACTGCGTGAGTATGGGCTGTCAGCCCGGCACAACCAATGCAATAGGACGATTGTGCTGTGACGTTCGTATGTACATCGCGTGTTCGAGATCACATAAAGTACACAGGAAATAACAACCCGACTGAGACTGTGGTCCAGCAAGGGACGGGAGTTGTCATAGATGTCATTCTCTGGAAATCCTCAACCGCCGGTCTCCACAATGACCTATCGGTTCCCACAACCGTCAGTCCCCACCGCCAACCGTCAGTCCCCACCACCAACCGTCAGCCCCACCATCAGCCGTCATTCCTCACCTTCACCGTCGGCTCCCGAGGACCAGCAAAACCGCTGTTACGGCAAATTGGCCGTTTACGGTAGGTTTCGGCAGTTCATCGATCGTTTACACCAAATTAAACGTGAGTTTTTGCAACAGCGACCATTACTATTTTTTCTCCGATCTCGATCGTTATTTCGATCGGAGATTAACTTAATCTCATTCGACTGTACAAGGACCCCATGAGCTTACGCCCACTATCTCCAGGCTCTGAGACTCAGACTCGGACCCATGGCTCTAGAATGTTCGGATCCGGCTTTGTAGTCGTCAGGGCATGCCACCAATCACTGGGCGGGCTGTCTGGGCCAAAACTGTGTGTCGTTGTAGCAAATGATGGTTTTGGTGAGTAAAATAGAAAGAAATGCATTCCTATCCATCGAAAAGCAAAGAGCAATGCTCTGATACGATAGCCCGTCCGCCGTACAGCAGTTTTGTGTACAATGTGCTGGGGTCGTTGCCAGTCGTATAATGATGTTGGGCATCTCAAAACTTGTAGTAAAAAGAAAGCTAAAATATGATTTGTTTTCGTAATAGCTGTAACGAAACACAAGCGTCTTTTCCGGTCGTTTCACCGAACCCCACACTTTGGGTGAGGACGAAACCCCGCTGGCCTCACAGCCGCCGAGCCAGTGCAGCACATCACCGGCAGCTCTTACGGACAGTATTTGTTGATATTCGCGAAAGTGGAACTATCATGTTTGGTCAAACGCGGCCGTGCCATGTTTTTGTTGGCTCTTCGTACTGTCTCTGGCGGGAAGGCATGCTGGACAGGTAAGCGGAAGCTGGGAAGCAGCAAGGTGCGATGGCAATGTCTCTTCACTGGCGATG